ATTACCAAAACCCAAATACCATATTGGATTTACATAGTGAAAGTCTCCTAAACTTTCTTAATTAATTCACATATCCTTATAATAATATCAGTCTTTAGGGAGTTGTTATTCCCATTTTGAATATGCAAAAAAGCAACAGGTTGACCTGAGACTTAACAAAGGTTACCAAGTTGTACAGATAGATTGTCTAAATAATTTGCTCAACTTTACAGAGGACTGGGTACATTATTTGCATCAGCACTTCAACGTTCATTTAACAGATATTTATTGAGCCTCTAACTTGTGCCAACACAATGTTGAATACTGAGCACACAATAGTGGGGTTTCTAACCTCATAAAGCTTCTATTTTACTGTGAAAAACAGATGTGAAACATATAATTACACTTGTGATCAGGATCACATGTGGCTCTGAGAGTACGTAACAACAGACTTGACCTTGTGGTATGGGGGAAACATCCTGAGGAACTCCTGCTTCAGCAAAATTCTAAAGGATAAAAACAACTACTTACATAAAAAGGAGGACATGAAATGAATGGTGCAAGCAGAGGGCACAGCCATTGTGAAGGAGTTGGGCACATTCAAGGATTTGAAAGAGCAGTGTAGTGAGCGAAACAAGCCAAAGAAAGACAAATACGATGATTTCGCTCATATGTGGAGTTTAAGACACAAAACAGATGAACATAGGGGAAGGAGAAGAAAAGATACGGAGGCAAACCATGAAAGAGAGTCTTAACTCTAGAGAGCGGTGGGTTGATGGAGGGAGGTGGGTGGGGGATGGGCTAAATGATGAGTATTAAGGAGGGCACTTGCTGTGATGCGCACTGGGTGTTATATGTAAGTGATGAATCACTAAATTCTCACTAATGTTACACTGTATGTTAACTAATTTAAATAAAAATTTGAAACATTAAAAAACCCTGAAAGACCAGGGACACCTGGGCGGCTCCGTCAGTTAAGCATCCAACTTAAACTCAGGTCATGATCTCATGGTTCATGGGTTCGAGTTCTGCCTTGGGCTCTCTGCTGTCAGCTCAGACTCTGGAGCCTGTTTCAGATTCTGTGTGTGTGTGTCTGCCCATACCCCACCTGTGCTCTCTCTCTCTCTCTCAAAAATAAATGAATAAACTTAAAAAAAAAAAAGCATTATAGTAAAAGCTTTTTAAAAAGGCAATAGTGTACAAGGGTTCCTTTACACTGTCAGTGAGAATGCAAATTGATGTAGGCACTGCAAAAACAGTACAGGGGTTCCTTCAAAAGTTAAAAATAGAGGGGCACCTGGGTGGCTCAGTTAAGAGTCTGACTTTTAAGTTTGGTTCAGATCATGATCTCATGGGTTGTGAGTTCGAGCCCTTCATTAGGCTCTGTGCTGACAGCATGGAGTCTGCTTTGGATTCTCTCTGCCCCTCCCCTCCCCTCTCTCTGTCAAAATAAATTAAACATTTTTTTAAGTTAAAAATAGATTTGCCATATGATCCACTAATTCCACAACTGGGTATTTAACCAAAGAAAACAAAAACACTAATCCGAAAAGATATATGCACCCCTATGTTTATTGCAGCATTACTTACATAGCCTAGATGCAGAAGCAACCCAAGTGTCCATTGATAGATGAATGGATAAAGAAACTGTGGTGCACATATACAATGGAATATTATTCAGCAATAGGAAAGAATGAAATCTTGCCATTTGCAACAACATGGATGGGCCTAGAAGGTATAATGCCAAGTGAAATAAAAAAGACAAATACCATATGATTTCACTCATGTGCAGAATTTAACAAAACAAAGGAACAACAACAACAACAAAAACCAAACAGACTTTTAAATAAAGAACGAACTGGTGGTTGCCAGAGGGGAGGTGGGGGGGGGGGATGGGTGAAAGAGAGAAAGGGGATTATGAAAAAAAAAAAACCTAGCAAAAGTATAATAAGATATACAGATGGGCAGATCAGCAAGATCTCATTGATAGTTCTTAAGGACTGGGACTTATCTCAATGACTTTTTAAAAGAATTTTAGATTCAACAATTAGAAAATGAACAGCCTGATTTTTAAATTGGGCAAAATATCTGAACAGGTATCTCACCAAAGAAGATATACAAAGGGCAATTAAGCATATTAAAAGATGCTCTGCAACATAAGTCATCAGGGAAATGCAAATTAAAACAATGAGATACTACCACACATCCATAAGAATAGCCAAAATCCTGAACACTGACGATACCGAATGATAAGTAAGGATGCGGAGCAACAGAAACTCTCATTCATTGCTGGTGGAATGCAAAATGATGGTCACTTTGGAAGATAGTATGGCAGTTTCTTACAAAACTAAACATACTCTTACCATACCATCCAGCACTCATGCTGCTGGTATTTATCCAAATGAACTGAAAACTTACGTCTACACAAAAACTGGCACATAGATGTTTATAGCAGCTTTATCATAACTGCCAAAACATGGAAGCAACTAAGGTGTCCTTCAGTAGGACCTATGGTTTTATGACTGGGTATCCGCAATCAAAATATCCAGAATACTATTCAGCACTGAAAAGACATGAGCTCCCAAGCCATGAAAAGGCATGGAGGAATCTTAAATGCATATTACTAAATTAAAGAGCAAATCTGAAAAGGCTATATACTGTATGATTCCAACTATATGACATTCTAGAAAAGGCAAAACTACGGAGGTAATAAAAAGGTAAGTGGCTGTCAGGGATTAGGGGGAGGGAGAGATGAATAGGTGGAGCACAGATATTTAAAGCAGTGAAACTATTCTGTATAATACTCACTAATGCATGTCGTTAAACATTTGTCCAAACCCATAGAAGGTACAATGAGTGAACCCGAATGTAGACTATGGCTTTTGGGTGATAACGATATGTCAGTGTAGGTTCATCAATTGTAACAGATGTATTACTCTAGTGTGGGAAGTTGACGGGGGGGGGGCCGGGGGGCGTTTCGGAAGGGAGGAATTGGAGGTGGGACAGGACGTATGCAGGGACTCTGTACTTTCTGCTCAGTTTTGCTTTAAACCTAAAACAGCTGTAAAAAAATATTTTCTTAAAAAGTTTTAGGAAGGAAATGTATTATTAGATTTACATTCCCAAGAGATCACTCTGCTGCAGTGACCCATGTGAACAGAGATAAAAAACAAAAATGGGTGTAGAACAGTTCACTGCAGTTGTCCAGGTGAGAGACAGTGTAGTTGAGACTAGGGTGGTATGGAAGGAGGAAGAGAAAACATGTGAGCCCCAGAGAGAGAAATAAGATTCAAGTATGTGCCCCTGGATAAATGAACAGCCTGCTTACCCTTAGTTTCCCCATATATTAAGAGAGAGAAAGGAGGTGTATGGGGGTTGGCCAAAGGTCTTCATGATTTGGGGAGAGGCTTTCACTGAACCATATGTAAAGCAAACACATAATTAACTGAGTATTTGAGACAATCTCTTTTCTTTTGTAATGGTAGCTCTGTATTAGACGAGCAAAATCAAGCAGATTGTAGTTTTTAAATTTTTTTTTTACATTTATTTATTTTTGAGAGACAGAGAGAGACAGAGCACGAACAGGGAAGAGGGAGATAGAGAAGGAGACACAAAATCCAAAGCAGGCTCCAGGCTCTGAGCTGTCAGCACAGAGCCCAAGGTGGGGCTCGAACCCACAAACCACGAGATCATGACCTAAATCGAAGTCGAACGCTCAACCAACTGAGCCACCCAGGCGCCCCTAAGCAGATTATGGCTTTTATGAGAGAACTTAAAAAAAGAAATTTTCTTTAATCATCTGCTACTTTAGTAATAATCCTAATTACAATGATAGCAACCAATAAATACGATAATATAATAAAAAACCTAAAATAGATATTTCTAGAAACCAATAAGTAATGTTGAGTTGGATTCTTCTTTTGTTTTATAGTTGCAACTTTGAGTCTTACTTGGTAATCTCTATGTAACTTTAACAAAGTTTTATAAACTTTGGGTAAATATTACTTATTAATAATGTTCATAATACATTATGCACTATAATGTTCTTCATGTTCATAGTACACTAATAATTCTATTTCGTTGCCACTATCTCATTCCTGTTGCTGTTTTCACTGAGTGAAGAGAAACAAAATTTGAGAAAGATTCAAGACACAGAAACAGTATCTCCTGAGGTCTTGGTTCCCTTATCCCATTTCCTAATCCCCCAGACAAGCTCTTCTAAAAACATTACCGTAAAAGCCTATAAGGGTGCGTGGCTGAAAAAGTGCTTGATAATTAGAGCTAAAAGCTCACTGATGCCAAGTCTTGACAAAAAGCATGTTTGTGTCTAATGAAAGCACATTTGCAGGATTAATACACTGTAGTAAGACAATGTATAAATCTAGAAAATTTTGTTAGAGGTGATTAATATTTGCCTAATGAGAAAAAACTCATTACTTGAGAAACAATATTTTCCATTACTAAAGAAAAATCTATTTTCTTGCTGTAATTGAGAAAATTATTTGAGGACAATACATAAATATACTAAATATAAACCTATTCATTATTATTTTTTTTTTTCAACGTTTATTTATTTTTGGGACAGAGAGAGACAGAGCATGAACGGGGGAGGGGCAGAGAGAGAGGGAGACACAGAATCAGAAGCAGGCTCCAGGCTCTGAGCCATCAGCCCAGAGCCCGACGCGGGGCTCGAACTCACAGACCACGAGATCATGACCTGGCTGAAGTCGGACGCTTAACCGACTGCGCCACCCAGGCGCCCCACCTATTCATTATTTTAATATTTCATACTTTATGCAGAATTGAATATTTAATTATTGTAATTTTTAAAAAGGTATTATGGCTGGAAAAAAACCACATACACATACACACACACACACACACACACACACACACACACACACACACAAATACCTGAAATAACTCCTGGCTATTCCATGATGTATGTGCCTAATTCCAATGTTATTTTCTTTCTCAATATTTCAGCAAGACTATGTGTAGTTTTAATAGGCCATTAGGTAAATGCTATTAAAGAAAAATCAGATCTACTCAAACTAGGTTATATCATTTACCAAGGTGATAGATTCTGACTTTGAGGAAGATTGTTGACCATTTATATGACACTAAGAACTAATGTTTGACTTATAAATTCTAATTTCATCTTTTGCACACTGGGGAAAGAGATTAACAATTTTATCAACATCAAGATGCTTGTTTTGAAGAATTGATTCCATTTCTTTGAATAGTTCTTTCTCCAGTTTCCTCATGTTGTCCAACATAGTTTTGGCTTTTTCCTGAACAATGAAAAAATAAAAAGAAGTAAATACACACACACATATAAGTCTAACCAAATTCCAAACCACCTCTACAGACAAGTTTTTTTTTTTCATTCTGGTTTCCACTTCTAGTTTGGTTCCTGTCTTATTCTTTAGATATAGTACGGAATGAAATTCTTCAGGAAAAATCTTTGTTCTATATTGAATTAATGGATTAACTCCAACTTATCAGGTATTCTTAGTAGAAAAGATTAAGCATAATTGCATAGGATTAGTCTATAAGCAAGAAACCTAAAAGAAAAATTTACAGGACCATTGAAATTATGATATTGTGTCTGGGGAAGGTTGCTGAAAAATGAGGCTAAGATATTTTTATGAAGGTGGATCTTCTGTATTTAAAATCAATATTATCAGATTAAACAAAGGGAAAAGAACAGTAGTATTCAAGGGAAAGAACAACTAAAAAAGACATTTTCTCTATGATTCCTCCCTGTTTCAAGAATCGGGGGAAAGGTCATTACTCATATAGAATAAAGGAATTTTTAAGTTATTGGTGAATTACCATGACCAGTTATAGGGTAGGTACTGAGAGAAAAAATATATAAGAAGAAAGTTACTAGAAAGTAAGAATAATTTTAAAAATTTGAATGATATATATCTGCCCTATAATGATAAGGCAGAATTCCACAAAACAAAGATGCTTAATCTAAACATGGACTTTAAAATCAAATTGGATCTGGGGCGCCTGGGTGGCGCAGTCGGTTAAGCGTCCGACCTCAGCCAGGTCACGATCTCGCGGTCCGGGAGTTCGAGCCCCGCGTCAGGCTCTGGGCTGATGGCTCAGAGCCTGGAGCCTGTTTCTGATTCTGTGTCTCCCTCTCTCTCTGCCCCTCCCCCGTTCATGCTCTGTCTCTCTCTGTCCCAAAAATAAATAAATAAACGTTGAAAAAAAAAATTTAAAAAAATAAAATCAAATTGGATCAACTTTTTCTGATGAAACACTACATTACATATTAGTGAGAAAAAAATATATTTTGTCTATAAATGGTATTGAAATAATTGGTCACCTCTTGGAAAACAAAGTTAGAATCCCTACTTCATAACATACACAAAAATAAAATTCAGGGGCACCTCGGTGGCTCAGTAAGTTAAGCACCAGACTCTTGATTTCAGCTCAGATCATGATCTCAGGGTTCGTGAATTCCAGCCCCACGTTGGGCTCTGCGCTGACAATGCGGAGCTTGGTATTCTCTCTCTGCCCCTCCTCCCACATGCTCTCTCTCTCTCTTAAATAAACATGAAAAAATAGAAAGAAATTTCAGAAAAATTCAAGAACTAAGTATTTTTTTCAAACACACACATACATACTAGAAGAAAATACAGAAGTTATATTTATTTTGAGATGAAGCAGGCCTCTAGAAGCATGAAATCAAGATGCCTTAAAGGAAAAGACAACAAATGTAATTGACTTAACTTAAAACTTCTGTGTGAAAAAAAAGTTAAACAAACAATAAACTGAGATAAAAAATTGCAATATAACAAAGACTCAAAATTCATATAGTTTTGCCTCTCTGAGGCAAAAGACAAAAACAACCAAGCAACAATTGAAAAACAGGCTAGGGAAAAGAACAGGCAAGTCATTTAAGAGGAAATACTAATGGCTAATAAACATCTGAGAAGCTTTTCAACCTCATCAGTAATCAAGAAACATACATTAAAACTACCAGTAGCACTGACTCTCCCTAAGTCATAAAAATAGACTAGAACCAAAGAAAGACAAATATCACATCATTCTGCATAATATATGTGGAATCTAAAACACAAAACAAATGACAAAAAGCAGCATTAGACCCATAAATACAGAGAACAAAGAAACTGATGGTTGCCAGATGACAGGGGGTGAGGAGGTAGACAATATGAGTGAAGAGAAGAGGAAGATATAGGTGCCCAGTTATGGAATGAATGTCATGGGGATAAAAGGCACATAAGGAATATAGTTAATGGTATTGTAAGAGCATTGTATGGTGACAGATGGCAGCTACACGTGGGGTGAGCATAGCATAATGTATAGATTTGTCCAATCATTATATTGTACACCTAAAACTAATGTTAACATTTTGTGTCAATTATACTTCAGTAAAAAAAAAAAGTAGACTAGAATCCAGCTCTTTGACACTTCTTCCTTCAGGTTCTATGGTTTCTCCATTACTTTCTGTTGTCAATCAACACTTAATGGCTATTAAATAAAGCCTAAGATACTAACAGCTTTTAAATTTTAATTTCAATATTACTTAGAAAAATGTCAATCAGCATTTTAAAAAAAATTTTTTTTCAACGTTTATTTATTTTTGGGACAGAGAGAGACAGAGCATGAACGGGGGAGGGGCAGAGAGAGAGGGAGACACAGAATCGGAAACAGAATCAGCATTTTAATTTAACAAGCATTTAATAATACGTCTACAAAACCAACCTTCCAGAAACAGTATTGAGGGGAAAGGAAGCTGACAATGCTGAGAACTAAGTAAGCGATTAGTGGCAGTGTGGAGGCTGCTCAGGGAGAAGTGAGGGAAAATCCCTCCAGAGCAGACCTATCTCTTGAAACATATCACTGAGGAACTTGAGCAAAGGCAAGAAGGACCAGGGGGCTCATTTGTCCCAGGACTGTGCTCAGTCAGGAGTGTAAGCCAAGCCCACACAGTGGATGACACCACTGGCCGGTAGACTGGGCTCTCAACAGCGTACTTAATGCCCCTAGAACAACTTGCCTGATTCTCATTCCATGCCACCGGCTACCTACAAAAAGTGTTTACACTGTAAGTTACAAGTGAAAACAAAGTAGTCCAAGATAAAGCAAGTGTCAAGAATCCACTTTAAAATTCTTTAAAAAGAATAAGCACTTACCATTTTTTTAAAAAGACTCCAATTCATCATTATTATTACGTCTAAGGAGTGTTAAGCATTTCCCATAAAAATTAATCTGAGGCTATCTGATTAAGAACATTTTGTATGTAAGAGATGTTAACTGCCCTCCAGTAGCTCTGTAATTTTTGGTGTGAGATATAAACTAAGCAAGCTACTTAAACTCTCTAAGTCTCAGTAAATGGAGATTCCTTATCAGTGAAATGGAGATAACAATAGTATTTACCTCATAAAGTGGTTTGAAGATTAAATAAAATATTCTATGTTGTGTAATGATACCATGGTGCTGAGTGTATAAAAAGTGCCCAATAAATGTTAGGTATTGTTATTATGTTTAAGATACTAAATTTCTCTAAGAGATTCATAGTGCATTCTTAACCATTATTTTATTTATTTATTTATTTTTTATTTTTTTTTTTCAACGTTTATTTATTTTTGGGACAGAGAGAGACAGAGCATGAACGGGGGAGGGGCAGAGAGAGAGGGAGACACAAAATCGGAAACAGGCTCCAGGCTCTGAGCCATCAGCCCAGAGCCTGACGCGGGGCTCGAACTCACGGACCGCGAGATCGTGACCTGGCTGAAGTCGGACGCTTAACCGACTGCGCCACCCAGGCACCCCTAACCATTATTTTAAATCTTTGGTTTGAGCTCTACTATAATTGAAACATCTAAACTATTTTATTTTTATTTTATTTTTAAAAGCTTTTATTTTTTTAAATGTTTGTTTATTTTTGAGAGAGAGAGAGAGAGAGTTTAAACTATTTTTAAACCTATTTTTACATGAAGCAAGGAAAGAAAGGTGAAGTTCCAAAGTTCAAAATGTGGACTGAATCACACTTTAAACTGTTCTTAATGATAAACCAGAGAATATAATTTAATCATACCTCCTTTTTGTCTATTACTTCCAATGCCTGTTGATGTTCTTGATAGAGTGGGTGTCTTCTGTCAGGCTTAAACTGAAAACGTGGTTTCTTTTTAACTGGGTCTTCAAGATCAAATGTTGGTGAGCTGGTATCCAATAGTTGTGAAACATTTGGCACAAATATGAAAGGCTTAAAAACAGATCTAGAAGAAAAAGTCATAGAGTTGGCTTGTGGGGATAGTGGGGATAGGAAAATATTTAGCATTATGCTAAATCTTCTACGATTCCCTCTAGTTAGAAGGGCCTGGCACAGAAACAGTGTCCAGTGAAATTATAGTCCATCATTTTCTACTGAAAACTCCATAGTTGAAGGGTAAGAACAATCCTCAGTGTTACAGAGATTGAGGATTAGGATCTGGAATGAAATCACAGCAGCAGTATTAATAAAGTGTCCTCAGGTCTCACTCCATCTTCTTGAAATGATCTTTAATAACATGAAAGACTATAACACTGACAGAATACAAGATCATTTCTCAATGTAATGTACATTAAGTTCTATGAGAGACACTAATGACTTAAGACAATTTTAACATATCTAAAATCCAATTTTAGATATAACTTCAACTACTGATAGTTTAAGTTTTACAGGCATATATTTTCTAGATATGAGCGGATAAGTAACCATCTAAATCCAGCACAACTACATCATTTAATCTTCTTAGTATTCTTAACCATCTAATATTATAATACTGAAATCTGCAAAAGAAAACCATCTACTTTCTTTTCTTGACAATTTTAAATATATTTGGCCAAAGAGAGTAAGGATAACTGCAGACAAGAAACTATTAACATTTTTGTCCTAAAAAATGAGAATAGTTATGGCAGGAATGCACATATGTAAATGGCAGCCTACCACCCGAACAGAAAATATATCCAAAAATTATTGTCATATTTGTGTAAGAAAAAGTTAGCCTGGCAAAATCACCAACAGACTGATGACTATCCTAGCCCCTGACCCCTTGTTGGTTTACAGTATTTTGTGACTTTACCTCTCAGGATCAGGAGTCCCTGTGAAGAAGTGAATGCAAGGAAGGTTGGAGTCTTGAGGTAAAATAGAAACCATGCTTGCAGTGGTCAGGAATTCTCCCTCCATATTAATGCCACTTGGTTTATCTCGGAGAATTTCCATCATTGTTTCAAAAGTTATATTTCCTAGGAAAATCATTTTAAAAATCATCAAATACATATGAATTTGCAGGTTGACATGCTGCAATCATGAACTGCTTTCTCTGTTGATAATATATAACATGAGATATTGGGATAAATTAGATATTGGGATAGGGATAAATTAGAGATTGACTACGAACAAACCTTGTATCATAACTATTAGTCTCATTCCACTATCATAAGGAAGATTTCTTTTTAAATTTTTTTTTTAATTTTTTTTTTCAACGTTTATTTATTTTTGGGACAGAGAGAGACAGAGCATGAACGGGGGAGGGGCAGAGAGAGAGGGAGACACAGAATCGGAAACAGGCTCCAGGCTCTGAGCCATCAGCCCAGAGCCCGACGCGGGGCTCGAACTCACGGACCGCGAGATCATGACCTGGCTGGAGTCGGGCGCTTAACCGACTGCGCCACCCAGGCGCCTCATAAGGAAGATTTCTTAAAAAATATAAAACACACTAAATCTCAAAACCATTACTATCAGGTAAAATCTGTAACTTCCTAAGAAGGAATCAAAAATGCAAAATACACTCAATCTCATTGCCCTTACAAAAATTTTTAAGGTGTATTTAGTTAGCAGTGAACTGACAATATCAGTAATTATCATCTGAGCCTATCCATTCTGGGAACCAAATATTAAAAGAATACAGTGCTTGGTTTCCAGTATTATATAAGGTGTTCTTTATAAAATAAAATACTCCTTTTCCTGTAATTTCTGTGGCTGATATTAATACTCTTATCTGAAAGTGTGAATTGTAACCTGAGTGGGAATGAAGGAAACAAAACACATTATTAGTTAGTGGGATTTTAATGAACATAAATCTGCTGGACTACTTAAAATATTTAAATGTCCATTGTGTGTGATAAGACAGATGGCATTATATTTTGTTTTCTTTCATATGTAAAGTTTGATATTTTAAGGAGTTTTTTATTTTAGAAAAAGAAACTATTTTATCTCTTTAGCCAACACAACATGACCATGGTTACAGAGAGCCTCAGAATTCCATATTTGCAAGGCATTTCCACCAAAAAATTTAAAAAGCCATCGTGCCTTCGGACATCTCTGCTCCTTACTATACATATCCATGCTCAAAGATGTGGTTCAGGATCTAACTACCTCATGAAAGATGAAGAATCTTACCCCCTTACACAATGCAGTCCTCCCAAACGTAGCCCAAATATCTTCTACTCACATGTCATAATTCTCTTCCCTAAAATTTGACTCTCAATTCCCCCTGAATCAAATTAAAACTCCTTCATTTTATTTTTTTTATTATTTTTTTTTATTTATTTATTTTTGGGACAGAGAGAGACAGAGCATGAACGGGGGAGGGGCAGAGAGAGAGGGAGACACAGAATCGGAAACAGGCTCCAGGCTCCGAGCCATCAGCCCAGAGCCTGACGCGGGGCTCGAACTCACGGACCGCGAGATCGTGACCTGGCTGAAGTCGGACGCTTAACCGACTGCGCCACCCAGGCGCCCCTAAAAACTCCTTCATTTAAAAAAAGTATTTATGTTTAGAGAAAGAGAGAGAGAGCACAAGCTTGGAAGGTGCAGAGAGAGAGGGAGAGAGAGGATCCCAAGCAGATGAACGGTGAGATCATGACCTGGGCAAATCAAGAGTCAGACGCTTCACAGATTAAGCCACCCAGGGGGCGCCTGGGTGGCGCAGTCGGTTAAGCGTCCGACTTCAGCCAGGTCATCATCTCGCAGTCCGTGAGTTCGAGCCCCGCGTCGGGCTCTGGGCTGATGGCTCAGAGCCTGGAGCCTGTTTCCGATTCTGTGTCTCCCTCTCTCTCTGCCCCTCCCCCGTTCATGCTCTGTCTCTCTCTGTCCCAAAAATAAATAAACGTTGAAAAAAAAAAAATTTAAAAAAAGAAAAAAAAAAAGCCACCCAGGTGCCCCCAAACTCCTTCAAATTAAAATTTACCATTAAGATGAACTGAAATAAGCTTTTCCTTTCATATAAGCATTCTTGATTTTTTGCACATATAGCTTCTATCTCTGCCATTAGATTATAAATTCTCTAAAGACAAAAATGAGATTTTTCTCTATTTAGTTCTCATTCCTCCAACAAATACTTATTGAGCATCTACTAAATTCCAGGCACTATCCTAGGAAATAGAGAGATAGACAGATTGATATTGATGCACTTTGACACAGATATGTAGCTCTGTGAATGTAAAGAAGTGAAAGTTCCCTCATCCAATTTCAGTTGGAGGTAACCACAGTTAACAATTCAAAAAGGATCTTTTAGGAAGACTTTCAGAATAGGTTTAAAAGCTTTCAAACAGGAAATTCTCATTATCAAAAGAAAAGTGGTACAAGAAAATAGCCATTTAAAGCAACACATCTAAGTGCTTGCTTTGGCAGCACATATACTAAAATTGGAATGATACAGAGATTAGCATGGCCCCTGAGCAAGGATGCCATGCAAATTTGTGAAGTGTTCCATATTTTTTTTCTTATTCTTTGATACAGAAAGAGAACATTTTATTTTTATTTCCCGTTAAAAATTTTTAAAAATTTTTTGCTATAGTTTTTATTTTGTAATTTTTAAAATTCTACTTTACTTTCCTCATGTCATTTTATTCTATTTTGTTGTATACATTTTTAAATTTTTTTAACACTTCTTACTTTTTTTTTCTTTTCTTTCCCTTTTTTCTCTATTCTATCAAGCTTCTTTCAAAAACCAGGCCAAAACGCACCTAGGATCTAGCTTCCTTTATTTGATTTTTTGTGTTGCTTTTAATTTTTTAATTTTAATTTTTTTATTAATTATTTTTCTTCCTCAAAAATGACAAAATGAAGGATTCGCTCCAAAAGAAAGAACAGGAAGAAATGACAGTCAGGGACTTACTCAACACAGATATAAGCAAGATGTCTGAACCAGAATTTAGAATCATGATAATAAGAATACTAGCTGGGGTTGAAAAAAAGCATAGAAGACACCAGAGAATCCCTTTCTGCGGAGACAAAAGAAGTAAAATACATTTGAGATTGCATCTCAGTTGTATGCCACGGCGGCAAGGATGGATGAAGCAGATCAGCGATACAGAAGACAAAATTATGAAGAATAATGAAGCAGAAAAAAGAGGGAAACTAAGGCAAAAGAGCATGATACAAAAATTAGAGTACTCAGTGACTTATTAAAAAGGAATAACATCTGAATCATAGAAGTCCCAGAAGATGAAGAGAGAGAAAAAGGAGTAGACAGTTTATGTGAGCAAACCAGAGCAGAAAATTTTCCTTACCTGGGGAAAGACACAGACATCAAAATCCAAGAAGCACAGAGAACTCCCATTAGATTCAACAAAAACAGACCATCAACGAGGAATATCATAGTCAAATTCACAAAATACACAGACAAGTAAAGATTATGAAAGCAACAAGGGAAAAAAAAGTCTTTAATCTATAAGGGAAGACAGATCAGAGAGCTTATGGAAGAAACTGAAGAAGACACAAAAGAATGGAAAACTATTCCATGCTTATGGATTAGAAGAATAAGTATTGTTAAAACGTTGACACTACCCAAAGCAATCTACATAGTCAATGCAATCCCTATCAAAATCACACCAGCCTTCTTCACAGAGCTAGAACAAACAATCCTAAAATTTGTATGGAACCAGAAAAGACTCCAAACAGGCAAAGCAATCCTGAAAGTGAAAAGCAAAGCTGGAGGCATCACAATTCTGGACTTCAAGCTATATCACAAACCTGTAATCATCAAGATAGTATGGTACTGGCACAAAAACAGACACTCAGATCAATGGAACAGAATAGAGAACCCAGAAATGGACCCACAAACGTATGGCCAACTAATATTTGACAAAGCAGGAAAGAATATCCAATGGAATAGACAGCCTCTTTAGCAAATGGTGTTGGGAAACCAGAACATCAACATGCAGAAGAATGAACCTGGACCACTTTCTTACACCATACAAAAAGTAAACTAAAATGGATGAAAGACCTAAGTGTAAGACAGGAAGGCATCAAAATCCTAGAGGAGAAAGCAGGCAAAAACCTCTTTGACCTTGACCGAAGCAACTTCTTACTCAACACGTCTCTGGAGGCAAGGGAAACAAAAGCAAAAATGAACTACTGGGACCTCATCAAAATAAAAATCTTCTGCACAGCGAAGGAAGCAATCAGCAAAACCAAAAGGCATAAACAGAATGGGAGAAGATATTTGCAAATGACATATCAGATAAAGGGTTAGTATCCAAAATCGATACAGAACTTATCAAACTCAATACCCAAAAAACAAGTCATCCAGTGAAGAAATGGGCAAAAGACACGAATAGACACTTCTCCAAAGAAGACATCCAGATGGCCAACTGACACAGAATGGCTAACATTAACAACTCAGGCAACAACAGATGTTGGTAAGGATGCAGAGAAAGAAATCTCTTCTGCGCTGCTGGTGGGAATGCAAACTGGTGCAGCCGCTCTGGAAAACAGTACAGAGGTTCCTCAAAAATTAAAAACAGAACCAGCCCATGATCCAGCAATTGAACTACTAGATATTTATTCAAAGGATACAGGAATGCTGTTTTGAAGGGGCACATGCACCCCAATGTTTATAGCAGTGCTATCAACAATAGCCAAATATGGAAAGAGCCCAAATGTCCATCAACTGATAAATGGATAAAGAAGATGTGTTATTTACACACACACACACACACACACACACACACACACACACACTAGAATATTACTCCTACCATCCATCACAGCTTTCTGCAATCTTTGGTTCACTGGCTAGCTGGTGTATGACTAAAATGAGGTCTTTTTTTTAGAAAGTCTCTCCCCAATTTTCCTCTATGACCTCCTAGTTTTATATGCTTGGAAAAAATTTATATTTCTAAAAGTATAATTCTACTAGAAAAAGGAAGTAGGACCACTGATACATAATTACATACTCGAAAAGCCAAAGAGGATGGAATTGAAGAATTTTTTTTAAGTTTATTTATTTTTGAGAGAGAAGGAGGGAGAGAGAGAATCCCAAGCAGGTTCTGTGCAGAGTCTGATGCAGGGCTTAATCTCACGAACCATGAGATCACAACCTGAGCCGAAATCAACAGTTGATACTTAACCGACTGAGCCACCCAGGTGCCCCCCTAGAGGACAGATTTTTAAAATTACCAATTCAATAGAGTATCAGTGAGGTGTTCCTTTAAATAAATGAAAACACTCAACAGATTTTTATAGATAAAAAAACAACTACTTAGCAAATATAATAGAAAAATATTCCATTCACATTACGAGGCAAAAATATAAAATATTGAGAAAAAACTTAAAATTTTGTCCATTGCATCTCATGCTCCCACCCTAACAAACTAGGAAAAGAGAAAAATAAGCCCAAACCAAGCAGAAGGAAATAATAAACATAAGAGCAGATGTCAATGAAATTGAAAGAAGAAAAAACAATAAAGGAAAGTCAACAGAACAAAAATCTGGTTCTTTGAAAAAAATCAATACAATTGACAAACCTCTAGCTACACTGACAGAAAAAGAGAGAAGACAAAAACTACAAAATTACCAATATCAGGAATGAAACAGGGATATCATGACAGACCCTGCAGACATTAAAAGCAAAAGGGAATACTATGAGCGACCCTATGCATATAAATTAACAACCTGGAAGAAATGGACCAATTATTTGAAAAGCACATATTACCTAAACTCACTCAGTATTAAACAGATTATTTGAATATCCCTATAACTATTAAAGAAATTGACTTTGTAGTTTAAAAACCCACAGAAAAGAAATACCCAGGCCCAGATAGTTTCGCTGGAGAATTCTATCAAATATTTAAGGAAGAATTGACAGCACTCTACACTGTCTCTTACACAAAATAAAAAAGGAGGGAACACTTCCTGATTCACTGTTAGGCTGATGTCAAAACCAAACAAAGGCAGTAAAGAACAAAACAAACAAGACAGACCAATATCTCTCATAAATATAGATGCAAGAACCCATAACAAAATGTTAGCAAACAGAACCCAGCAATACATAAAAAGAATTATATACCACAACCAAACTGGGTTTATTCCAAGGATACAAGGCTGGTTCAATATGTGAAGATCAATGTAACTTACCATATTAACAGGCTGAAGAAGAAAGAGAATCATATCAATTGACACACAAAAAAATAATAAACTTCAACATCTATTCATTACAAAACCTCTCAGCAAACAAGAAATGGAGAGAAACTTCCTTAACATGATAAAGTTAAGCATCTACAAAAAGCTATAGCTAACACTACACTTAATGATAAAAAAACTGGGGCACCAGGGTGGTTCAGTCGGTTAAGCATCCGACTTCAGCTCAGGTCATGATCTTGTGGTCCGTGGGTTCGAGCCCCAGTCGGGCTCTGCACTGACAGCTCGAAGCCTGGAGCCTGCTTCAGATTCTCTCTCTCTCTAGTCCTCCCCCAGTCACACTCTGTCTCCTTCTCTCTCAAAAATAAATATTAAACATTAAAAAAATGATAAAAAGACTAAATGCTTTCCCCCTAAGACTGGGAATAAAGCAAGGAAGTCAGCTCTTACCATTCTTATTCAATATAATCCTGGAAGGTCTAGCCAGAACTATAAGGCAATAAAAAGACACAAAAAGTATATGGATTGGAAAGGAAGAACTAAAACTGTCCCTATTTGCAGATGATATGATAGTGTATATAGAAAATCCCAAGGAATCCACCCAAAGGAGAATCTGCCCAACAACAACAACAACAACAACAACAACAAAAACCAAAAGCTCCTAGAACTAACAATTTCAATGAGGAAAGTCACAGAACACAAGGTCAACATACAATAAAATAATAACAATTTGAAATTTTGAAAAAATGTTCTAATTAGAGAACAATTTATTTAGGCTCTATAGAAGGGAACTAGAGAACTGTTTTCTTGTTTAGGTTAAGATTGCAAATACTATAGGTCCTGCTTCCCTTCTACAATCCATCCTAAAGAAACAATTTTGGGGGTGCCTCAGTGGCTCAGTCCATTAAGCGTCCGACCTCCGCTCAGATCATGATCTCACAGTCTGTGAGCTCGAGCCCCACATCAGGCTCTGTTCTGACAGCTCAGAGCCTGGAGCCTGCTTCTGGGTTCTGTCTCTTTCTCTCTCTGTCTCTCTGCCCCTCCCCTGCTCATGCTCTGTCTCTCTCTCTCTCTCTCTCTCTCTCTCTCTCTCAAAAATAAATAAACATTTAAAAAAAAATTTTTTTTTAAAGAAACAATTTTGAAATGCAGACAAAATTTAATACACCAAGATGTACACTGCAACATGGTAAAGACTGGAAAACGACCAAATAGCAAACAATACTATCTGTTACTTGCCTGTGTCCTACCTTCCACTAGTTATTATGTTCCAGAAGGTCACAGACCATATCAATCATATCTGCTGCTATGTGATCTCATGTCTAGCATAGAACAAGTTTTCACAAAAGATTTAACAACAAAAAAAGTCAATATGGAAAACCTAGATAAAACTACACAAGTCTTAGAAACACAAAAGAAAATTTCAATAAATAGACAGCCATATCTTGTTCTTGAATAGGAAGGCAATATTATTAGATGTCAATCCTCCCCTAAAATAATCTATAGTTTTGATTCAATTCCAGTCACACCTCAAAGAATGTTTTGGGAGGAGACGCTGAATAAAATTATTGTAAAATTTATCTGGAAAAATGATCAGTCAAGGATTGTCAGGAACATTTTGAAAGAGCAGAGCAGTGAAGATATCCTTGTCCTACCACATAAAAAGAAAATAACAGTATTGCAAAGTCCCTCATTTTGTTCTTTGTTCATACAACAAGTATTGAGTACTTACTGTATGTACTTACACTGTTTTAAACAAAACTGGACAAATACAGTCATCTAATTTACACATGGGTTTCCTTAGGAATTAATGTGATCAAGTTGGTTGACATTTCAAATCAGTAGAGAAAGATAATCAATTTAATCATTAGTACTGGGATCACTGGATAATCATTTGAGTGGTGAGGAAAACGGTAGAATCCTAATTCATACTTTATTTTAGAATGATTCTAGAATCATCCTAATTTAAATGTACAAAATAAAGTTATAAATATAAGATGTAGATAATCATTTCTGGGGGCACCTGGGTGGCTCAGTCAGTTAAGCGCCTGGCTCTTGATTTCGGTTTGGTCCGTGAGATCAAGCTCTGTGTTCGCACAGAGCCCGCTTGGGATTCTCTCTCCCATTCTCTCTGCCCCTCCCCTCTCTCACTCTCACACACTCACTCTCTCAAAATTAAATAAACTTAAAAAAAAGATAACCATTACGGTATAGTAAAAACGACCTTTCTCAAAGGACATCAATGCTAGAAACCACTAAGAAAAATTCCTTATAGTGCAGTGTCTGAGAGACTCAGTCTCCCTCTCCCTCTGCCTCTCCCCTGCTCATGCTCTGTTTCTCTCTGTCTCAAAAATAAATAAACGTTAAAAAATGTTTTAAAAAAAGAAAGATTCCATGTAGGACAAAATCAACCATTATGTTTTTAGTTTTCTATTTATGCCAGCTATTTTTCCTTTTTTCTCCTTCCTTGCCCTCTTGAATTTTTCAAGTGTTTATTATTTTACTTCTCCCCTGTTTATTATTTATACATTCTTTTATCATTTTGTTAGTTTCTCTTGACTTATTACAGTCTGCCTTAAATTAATTATCCATTAACCCAAGGACCTTACAACACTTTAACTCCACTTACTGCCTCCGGTCTTTTGTGCTATGCTCAGACATTCAATTCTACTGTGTTTGTCTGAGTCTTCTGAGAAGCAGATGCCATGACATATGGTTAAATGTACAAGAACTTTATTAGGGAAAATGACTATGAGGGAAAACGCCTGTGAGAGAAAATGAGGAGGAAGCTAGAGTATGATGGAAGTCTCAACCCGGGTTTGGAAAGTTGAGAGGGAAGAAAAGTTGAGTTGGAAGTGTCCTAGAATGCCACACCATCTAAGAAAACCTTTGCAAGCCTATCAGGGGTTCCTTGACCCAAAGTCGGCCATTGGAGGATTCCCATGATCCCAGGAATTCCTTAGTCTCCCTGCCTCTTTCAGTCATTGGCAAGGAGCAGCCTGTGGGAAGCATAGTCTCAATACTACACAAAATCCATGCACGACATATTTTGAACCCTGCAGCTATGGCCATTGGTCATAAAATTATCATTTTAAATACTCAATATTCATTTAGTTTTACCCACTTATTTCCTGTTTTTGTTGCTCTTCATTCACTCCTGCTTACCTTGCTGATATCCGAGATCATTTTTCCTGCCTGAAGAATGACTCTTACTATTTTAGTGCCAATTGGCTACTGACAAATTTTGTTTTATTTCAACTTCATTTTTGGAGGATATTTTCACTGGTATTGAGTTCTAAATGACTAGTCATTATTTGTCTTCATCACTTTAAAGGTGTCCTTTACAGTCTTCTGGATTCCTCCCCATCTAGTAAAAAGTTAATGGTCAGTCCCATATTTGCTCCTTTGAAGATAATATGTATCTTTTCTCTCACTGCTTTTAAGATTTTCTCTCTGTTGGTTGTTGTTTGGTTGGGCTTTTTCCTTTAGAAATCTTACTATGATGTGCCCAGGTATGGTTTCTTTTCATTTATTCTTGTGGTGTATAGAGCTTGAAGCTGTGGATTAATGACATTTATTAGTTTTGGGAAATTCTTGGCCAATATCTCTTCAAATATTGCTTTTGCCCCTCCATGTTCTCTCTGTCCTTTCCTGCTGAGACTCCAATTACATATGTGTGAGACCTTTTCACTGAGTCTGAGATGGCTCTCACACTTTTTTTTTTTTTAATGTTTATTTATTTTTTTTTTGAGACAGAGAGAGACACAGCATGAGCTGGGAAGGGGCAGAGAGAGAGGGAGACACAGAATGTGAAGCAGGCTCCAGGCTCTGAGCTGTCAGCACAGAGCCCGACGCGGGGCTCAAACTCACAAACTGTGAGATCGTGACCTGAGCCGAAGTCGGACGCTTAACCGACTGAGCCACCCAGGCGCCCCTCTCACACTCTTATCTATATTTTCTAAAGTTTTATCTCTCTGCTTCAATCAGGAGAGTTTCTACTGATCTTCCAGTTAATAATTTATTTTGCTAAGTCTAATCTGTTATTAAACCAATCCATTGAATTCTTAATTACAGTAATTAGAATGCTATAGTTCTATTATTTCCACTTGATTCTATTTATAGATTCCAGTTCTCTGATGAAATTCTCCATCTCTTCATCTAATTTTCTTGAACATATAAAACATACTAATTTAAGTCGTTGTCTGATAAAGCTATGTGGGGAAATACGTTCAAGAATTCCATATATTTACATAAATGGATTAGAAAAAAGTTTAGGGTGGAAAGCTGCCACCATGGGGGGAAAGCGCCCAAGGTTAGCTAGTGAGATTATTGTAATGGAATCACGCGTAACTTGTTATATCACCTGCAGGAAATTACTTTCCATCTGTTGCCAATATACTATTGTGCTTTGATCACAAACTCCACTTGCCCCCCCCAGACCCTTTGCTTCTTAGACACACAAGTTAACAATTACTATCTGATTGTTCTCTTCATGTTTACCACGTGTGTAAGATCTTGTTTTCTTCACATCACCATGTGTGTAAGATCTTGAGAACTCAATAAATATGCAGACAAAAGCTTTGTTTGGGGCTCTTGTCTCCTCCCAGACACTAGTCTCTCTCGTATTCAATTCTATGTCTGCTCTCTTGCTGCACAGGAGAGAACTCCAGACTCCTAGTCTGTGACAAAGCTAGTTTGTGGATACCAATGGGTTAGTTTCTATTGTCTATTTTCCCTTGGTTTTTGGTCATTTAGTCTTATTACCTGGCATGTCTGATAATTTTTTACCCAATGTTGGAAACTATGAATGAAAATTTGTAGAAGCTCTTCATATTTTCAACAGAGGATTTAATTTTCTTCTGGTAAACACACAGAATATAGGTAGATTACCTACTGATCCAGTTGTGACTGGCCTGGTCCCTGTTTCTTCTTTCTCCTAAGTGTAGCTTTTCTGGGCTGAAAGGCTGGGGTGTTTCCCAGGCCTCTTCTTGATTGGCAATCACATTTAAGTTTTGTCCCTAAAGCCTTGTGAGAGTCCCACATCTCTACTTAGCTTTTTAAGCACTTAGCAACTACTTTGGTCTTGATTTCTCAGTGTCTCATCCTACATATGTGCCGCTTAGAAGTCAATGATTGCTTTAAGGAGAAATTGTGACAAGAAGGTCAGGTGCTTCTCAGCGTGTAGATAGTCTTTTCTCAATCTGTTGAACCTAGACCCTCATGTCCTAACTGTTTCAGGCATTCACCTATGCCTTCATACAGTGGCTTTTATTCCTCCAGCTTTTTTGTTTTATTCTTCCAGATTTTATAGGTATTCTTAGAGGGAGGTTAGTCTAACACTAATTACTCCTTAATAACCAGAAGCAGAAGTCCAGCTCTGTGCTCTTAACCCTCCACTGTTGTGCCTCCCACCAGTCTCTTTTTACCCTCACGTAGTATCATTTTCTCAATAACAGTAATGAACATGACAGACCCATATTGGAACAAGT